CACACACACACACACACAAGCAACATCAAAACCACGAAGATGAGGAAAGCGGTCTCACCAATTATGAACAGTGCGGCAACGATGTGAAACCACAAAACCCCAACTGAGCCGCGCTAAGGAACGGGCCATGCCCCGCCCAGGATCAAGGAGGCAAATCACTAATGGGCCTGCGACAGGCCCGAACGGACCACATTCCTGCGGGGACCCAAGTGCCTCAACCGTTTGCGCCCTGCCAAGCATGCACTTCGAACCTGGCACCTCCAACACTGAAAACAAAAACCTCGCACAACGGGAAAAAACGGGACACCACTGGGACAGCTTGGGCCCAGCGGGGAGCGTCTTGCAAGACCCACTGCACAATTTAGGAGTTTTAGTAGACTAGAAGTAGAAGTAGAAACAGAACCTTATGGTCCGGGCTCCATGTCCATTCTGGGGAGCAACAGTCCGGTTCCTATTCCACCGGCAAGTCAAAAGGAATACTTGTACTCACCCAACACCCCTCCCCATTATGGTCGGGAGGCCCAAGTGGACGGCATTGATTACTTCTCGTAGCAGGAGGGACTAGTATTATTTGGCGCTCCATACATTGGGTCCTCGTTGTCTTCTTTTCTTCCTCCTCCTCATTCTTCTTCTTTTCCTTCTTCGTCCCATCTTCGTCCTCCTTCGTCTATGTATGATTGCAGCAGGGAGGTTGTGCTATGATTGGGCCCGTCCCCATGAATGTGAGATCAGATCTGCGCCACTTTCTCATTTTGCTGCATTGTCAGTCACTCCTATCTGATTTGAGTCTTCCACTGCTCATATTGCTCATCTTTGGACTTGCACTGCCAACAGGCATGTATCACCAACCCTTATCTCTGCTATTGTTTTTTTTTTCATTTTTCTTTCCTCCTCCTCCCTTTGATCTATTTTCTTCGAAAGGGCGATGACCTTGAGATATGATCATTGAATGATTGAACTGACCGGCCCCAGTCAATTCAAAATTTGTTTTGTTCTGGTCATCTGGTCATCTGGATTCCAACTCGGGTCTGTATTTCAGCAGATTATGGGTGTACCGACGGAGCTAGGCCCGTTGGTGCACACATCCGTTGGTACACAAAATTGTTTTTTCCTTTCCCTTGTTTGTTGGTCTTGGAATGAAGTCAGACAGCACTCAGAAGCCGAAGCAAATATGTGAAGAACAACTTGGAAGAGCAACGTCAGACTGTTCAATTTGACAGGAGCAAATGTACCAGTGAATGCTCAGAGTCACTTTGGAGACCATCACACCAATCTGTCTATATGTCACGCGACCAACTAGCACAATCCCAACGTGTTTCAGCTACCACCACAGCATCGACTGGGGGTACCTTAAACCTTCTCCATCGCTTACCGATGCCTCTTGTTGACATTGCGGATCATCACACAAGAACAGGGCAACAAAAAAACATCACTTGTGTTTTTATATTACTCGTCACCTCTTCCTACAATTGTAGACCAACCCACACATTGCAAACTACCATCTTCCCCCGAATAGAACGCCGGTTATTATAGCTGTGTCTGGACTGAAAAGTTCACCAAATACGGTTATAATGACCGGGCGTTCTATTCAGGTGAAGACGGTAGCCCGATATGCCGCCATTAATCAACTACTGTGTTTCCCTTGAAAATCCGGCAAATTCGAAGTCCTTTTATGCGGTCCTGGTCCCATGTTCCCAGCATCTCTGTTCAGTGATTCCTCAAACCAGCCTGAAGTCAGACGCAATGGTTCATACTCTGTTGAGCAGATTGTCCTGTCCTTTTGGAGATAATGATTGGAATTAATGATTCCAGCTACATGTCTGTTTTTCTGTCGAACTTCCTTCCCTCCCCCCTCATCTGCTCTCTCTCTCTCTCTCTCTCTCTCTCTCTCTCTCTCTCTCTCTCTCTCTCTCTCTCTCTCTCTCTCTCTCTCCCCACACACACACACAAATATTGTTTGTCGCATTGCAGTGTCGGGCCGCCTCATTGATGGCTACCTTGCAAATTGCGCTGTTTGCATTGACATCACTGAGGACCGGCAATGTGGTCCGGACGAGCCATCAGCAGTCACTACGAGGAAAGGATTATTTGTATTCGACAACGAATCACTGAGCGATCCTGCAGCCACCACAAGCACCTTAATCGCAATTCAAGGTGCCAGCAACTCCAGGTGCTTTGATATCTTTAGCGGTTTCCAGCCCACCTTAAGCACAATGTATGCCCCTGCTGGTTCAACAGTTATCAGTCCACTGACGAGCATCGTTCAGATGCTTATTGACGAATACGAGCAGCCAATAGCAACAGCAGAAGACATGGTGAAGAAGAGCTTTAACATTCCAGTACAGTTTGATATTTTGCATCGCGACCCGTATCTATGGACATTGAGAGGGGACAAAACAGCTTTTCGTGCCGCCGTTGCTGCCGCCCAAGTCGCGAATGTAGTTAAACTGGTACGTGTAGTAACGAGTCCAAAAACACAAAACCCTAAACCCTAAACCCTCAAGGCTTCGCTGTTGAATCTAGCAGCAGCAAGTGTAAGTGTAATATGCCCTTAAACCCACAGACTCCCTTCAAAATTTCAAATCCTTTGCTGCTGTTATTGCCTGCTGAGGTGCTCTGATATGGTTATCCTTTTGCATCAGCTTCACTCACTGTTCAGCACGTCACTTGATCGAAGCTGCGAGTTATGGGTTCCTGGTGTTGTGGTTTGATTGTGTTTGCAACTTTAAGATGCCCTTAAACCACAGACTCCCTTCAAAATTTCAAATCCTTTGCTGCTGTTATTGCCTGAAGTGCTCTTATGTGTTTATCCTTTTGCATCAGCTTCACTCACTGTTCAGCACGTCACTTGATGGAAGCTGCCTGTTAAGGGATCCTGGTGTTGTGGTTTGATTTTGTGTGCAACTTTGCATTGTTCAACTTGTGCCTTGCATTGGGTCACCAAATTTTTTCAATTTTTTTTCAGCCAACTGTATTCATCTGATTATGATTCTGATAGCATGAGGATGTCAACTGATGATATGTTTACTAATATGGTCACATGTGCTGTAACATTTTCAGCCACATGGGCTGGGTCACTCAAGAGTCAAGAAGACATTTGCTGAGACGGCGACTCAACAAGCCACAGATGGAAGGATATGAGTGCAGCTAGCTGCATATAGAGATCCTGCAGAAAATTCCCAGAAATCAGGGCGGAAGTTAGAGAAAAGACAAAAAAAACATTGACTTTCATACTGACACCGTAAATTGCTGGCAGAAATAGAGGGGGTCCTCAGCTTCAGCCAGAAGTTTTTTTTTGTTCCTTCTTTTGAGGCCATAGTAATACTTTACTACATCTTCTCATTGCTCCTGAGGGGGTGTAACGCGTACTATGGTGTGTGTGTTTGTACTATTATTAGTATTATTATCTATATACTATTATATCGTCTTGATTCTTGACCGTTGGAGTGTGTAAATCATCTTTACTGTTGGTGTGTGTGTATCATCTTGACTGTTGGTGTGTGTGTGTGTGTTGTTGTATCCCCTCGACTTGCCGGCGGATAAGCAACCGGACTGACCCTCCTAGAATAGAAAGGAGCCAGGACCGTAAGGCCTGATTTGACTATAAAAAAAAAAGAAAGTAAGAATTACACCCACAAACATCTCCCTTTTTTTTTCCTTCTTTTGTTCGTTGAGGTGCAGGGGAGAGAGTCTCGTGCATGGCCCAAAGGACAGAAAAAAGAATTGCATGGCCTGAAGAAAAAGTTGCGTGGCTGTAACAACTTATGGTCCATCTCCTCTGCGCAGCTGTTCTCTGTGGTGTCTCACGAGAGGGGATCAGGCAATACACACACACACACACACACACACACACACACACACACACACACACACACACACGCATGTTATGAACTTGGTTGTCTGACGATTTTTACCGCCACTCATACACAGACAATCTCATACACGCCCATACATGCATAAGAGAAGGGGGAGAGGAGACAGAGTCCACACTGCACACAGATCAGAGTAGGCAGCGGAAT